GTAAAAATATATGTCTACTTAACAACCAAGGACAAGCATGAAAATTAAAAAGAAAAATATCACATCAAACAACAACAAAAACAAAACATTTAATGTTTCCCTAGTCATTGAGATAACTATAATGTCTGAGATCAGGTTTTTATAGGTTCTAGCATTTACTTACTTGTTTCACCTTGCAAATCACACAGTTATCACTATCTAATGTACCTAGTCAATCTCCAAGGTTGTAAAATACCTTATATAGTATTAACAAAATTTACTTGCCAAGGAAGTCCCCCACTTCATCCTCTTTTGGAGGAACATTAAGTTTGATGAGATTTCTGTTGTCCAACAGTTTAAGAAACACAACTCATTAAGTTCCCAATCAGAGTTAAGGGTGGCCCTTGAGGCCATTTCTGCCTCAGGTACTTTTGTGTTGTCAAACCAGACAGGTGGATTTCTTAGAGCCCAGACAATGCAGAACACAGAATCTCTAGGGAAACCAACTTATGTAGGTGGTTATTTCTGAAAAATACTATAAATATTTCCTCGGGCTGAAAGATCTTCTGGACAAGACATGCTTAGCTTAGATTGGGTCACTTCCTAAGTGAACAGACTACTTACAATTAAGGTGGTGGATTACATCTGACTTAGGAAGCACCACTTATACTAAAGAGTTAAATGGTATGGACAATTGGAATGAGGCTATGATGGCCAGGGGTTATGGTTGTATAATCAGAAGTGGAGTAGAATCTTTTTTTTTTTTTTTTTGAGACAGAATCTCACTCTATTGCCTGGGCTAGAATGTCCTGTTGTCAGCCTAGTTCACAACAACCTCAAACTTCTGGGCTCAAGCAATCCTCTGCCTCAGCCTCCCAAGTAGCTGGGACTACAGGCACGTTCCACCATGCCCGGCTAATTTTTTCTATATATTTTTAGTTAGCCAATTAATTTATTTCTATTTTTAGTAGAGACAGAGTCTCGCTCTTGCTCAGGCTAGTTTCGAACTCTTGAGCTCAAACGATCTGCCCGCCTTGGCCTCCCAGAGTGCTAGGATCGCAGGCGTGAGCCACTGTGCCCAGCCTAGAGTAGAATCTTTATGCCGTGAGGATAACTTTTATTTTGTGTAGGAAAGCTAATTAATGTGCCCTTTAGTTTTATGTCAAGGTAGACCAAGACTAGTCTGAATGGAAAGAAAACTACCCCATTCCTATGTTAAAGAATAAAAAGAATTTCTGAGTTGTTTACTGGCTGGTGGGTAGGGACACGTTTTTAAATCTACTCAGAATTTTGGTTTTATTCAGGTATGGTGAGGACAACAGCTCAAGAGACAACTGCCACTGAGAAGATAATTTGTTACTCATGGTTCCAAGAGGAGGGGCCACATGGGGAAGTGTTGAGGTTGGTCAGGAGACAGAAGCAGCAAGGGAAAGCATGTATAGAGCCTCTGTGGTGCTTCTCACAGGAAGGAATGGGCAAGGCAGGGTGAGCCGCTGAGCAGGCTTTGGATTGGACAGTTTGAATAGTTTTAGTGGCTCTGGGCTGTAGAGCTGTTCCCTAATAACTGGCACTGGGATTATGAGGACAGAGGAATACTGCCTCCTGGTGTGAAAAAGTCAGATAGAGGAGGTGCTGGAGTATGCTCTCTGGTTTGGATAGTTTGCATATAAAAAGTGCACTCCAGGGTGAATAGTTTGCTATGTCTAAGAATTGGCTAACCTTGGGAGGGGCAGTCTCTCCCTAGTCAGTGAGGCCCCAGATAACAGAACATCAAGAATACAGAAGATATAGATAATACAGGACTCTGGAATCAGGAGAACGATCTGGGTGGTGAGAAATTTGAGAAATCAGCTCTAGTCTCCTCTATGCTGTAACACTAACATTCCAGGGAAGATCTGACCTCAGGGCCTTTGCATTTGCTATTCCTTCTACCTAAACCACTCTTTCCGAACATACCCCTGTGGATTCCTCCCGTATTTCCTTAAGTCTTTTTCTAAATAACACCTTTACAGTAAATCTTCCCCCACACGCTATATGAAGTGGCACCCTCCTCAAAGTTTCTCTGCCTTCCTTGTTTTGTTTTTCTTGAAAACACCACTGTATAACTTAGCTATTTTACTTATTTATGTGTTATTATCTCTCTCCTATAATGAGACTGCAAGCTCTATAGAAGCAGGAAGTTTTCTCTGTCTTGTTCACTGCCGCAGCTCCACGACCTTGAGCAGTGTCTGCTGATGGTCCACGTTGTCGGTGCTTAATAAATATTTGTGGAAGGAATGAATAAGTAAATGAGAAGTGATGTTCAACATTCAACTTAAATGTTTTCTATTGTCCACACACCTTCAATAACACTCTGGTGTACACACAACCATCGGTGATGGCGTTTTAGACAGTGGACCAGGAGGAGTGTCCAATGTGGGATGAAAAATGGTGCAGAGAGAAGGTGATGGTTCAAGGAGGAGAAACCACTGTTAGGACTCAAGAATTAGGCAAGAACAGAAAGTCAGAGGAAACCTGGAAAGTTTCCAGAAGAATTGTAGGCAACTCTGCCCCAGTGCTCTATGGGGCAGAGAGGGGTTTGAATTTGCCCGAGCGTGTGGCATGCCTCTTCAAATAGACGTGACTCTAGAAGGCTGGGGCACATAGGAGTTACAGGGACTGTGCAAGATGGTTTTAGGTAAAAGACAGAAACATTTAAAGAATAAAACATTTAATAAGAAGCAAATCTGATTTTCTGAGCTTAGTTCAATTTGTAGAAGGCAGAATGCAGACTGGGTTTTGCTGGAGACTGAGGAGACAGGGCCATTCCTTGGCATTATTGTCAGCACTTCCTTGATGATGTTTTCTGTGCATTTCACTGATAAATAAGAAACACAAAATCCCAGCATAAAATTTCATAGTTTGTAATTCAACAGTGCAAGAACATGTCCAATAATGCAGCCACTTTTAGACAAATAATAACTCTGCTATTGTTTGCAAGTGGTTGGCAAAGTTAGTCTCTTTTATACATTTTCAAGATTCCACTTTGGAGATATTTTTTCCCAGTCAGTGCAATACTTGCTTTGTTTTGTCACCTAATTTTTCAATCACCTGCTTCTAGCTGATAATAAATAAAATGAATAATATACCAAGTGCATGCTCAGTTCTGTGTGTATATTACCAGTGGTAGGAACTGTTTGTTCATAATAATAGTAAACCATTTCTCTAAACTGAGGATAATTTATTTTTATTTGTGATGCGACAAGTCTACTGTATACCTATGAAACAAGAAAACACTAAGTTTTATTGTAAATTTACTGATGAGATACAGTATACTTCAAACATATTTTAAGATAAATGAATAAAAGAAATACTTTTTTCTCTGAGATGGAGAAAATATTTAAATGTTGAGTAAAGCCTTGTAATTTTTATGTTCACAGCTTTGTCAAAAAGATGTTATATTCCCAGCAGCATCATGTTATCAAAGATGCAAACCTTAAATCAACAGCTGTTACACCTCCAGCAAGTTATGAATTTTTCCTGATTTATAGCAATCATTCTTTTTATTTCTTTTCTCAGTCAAGCAGGGAAATTAAGGTTATTTTCATGTAAAAGATAGACACATTGTGGCTTAGTATTTTACATAATCCGCATCTCTTACCTTTTAAATTAAATTGCTATTGAAATGAATGTGATCTGAGGGCTCCTTTTGATTAATAACAGAAATATTATTAGTAAATAGAAGGTAGAAACAACATTATTTACATAAAAATAAAAAGAAGATAACATAGACATCATAATAAGAATCATTTTTATGATTTGTTTTATACTGATATATCAGAACAAAATGAAAATAAAAGCTAAAGAGATTTGTGGTTGTAGAGAAGAGAGAAATGCTGCAGTGTTATTTTTGTTGGTGTTAGGTGCTCTTTAAAAAAATCACTTTGTCTTAAATAGATCAGAGAAGGTTATCTTTTGGTAAATTCAGGTAAACAATACTTTGAAGTTAAAAAATCCACTTCTTAATAAGCTAAAAGTGACCTTGTAGTTCCTAAAATTGTTTGCCCAAATTAAGGGTAACTACCATTTAGTAAGTGTTTGCAGTGCAATAAATATTGCATTAAAATGTTTTCTATAGTTTATCTCATATACTGATAATTCTGCAGAGCTAAGAACTGACTGATGCAGAATTGAAACGCAGTGTCTGGCACAGTGCTTAGATGGTGAGACAGAAATTTAAGTCCAGGTCTTTTGACTTATCAGAAAGAAGTCTTCAACATTTGAGACCCTTAAGTGTATGTAACACTGACTCCCGATTATAGGGAAGATTGTCCCTGGAGAATCATGTACCCTCTGGCAGGAGCAACAAATATAGAAATTGTTATGTTCTTGACAGGGGTCTTTAGCTGACACATTTATGGGTTAATGAGGTTTATTTATATCCAGTAAACACTATTACATGGGCTACTATATGCTTGACACTGTTCTAAGCATTTTATAAATATTAGCTATATGAGATAGATACAATCATACTCCCATTTCATAAGTGAGAAAATGGAGGCATGGTTTAAATAACATGCACAATAAATAAATAAATAAATAACTTGCACAAAGGAAAACAGCTAATAAATTGTAGAAATTTGACATAACAAAGTTTGGTCTTATGGTTTACACTCTTAACCATACTACGCTAAGGCTGCCTGTATATATCAGTCAGCTATGGCATTAACAAACCTTTTCCCCAAATCAGTGTCTTACAACAAGCATATAATTTTCTTGCTCACAAGTCTTCAGCGTAACCATAGTTTGGCTGATCTACAAAGGGCTCAGCTGGAAAGCTCTGCTTCCAATGGTGGGTCAGATGGCTTTCACTCTAGCAGGGGTCCTCAAACTTTTTAAACAGGGGCCCAGTTCACTGTCCCTCAGACCGTTGGAGGGCCAGACTATAGTTTAAAAAATACTATGAACAAATTCCTATGCACACTGCACATATCTTATTTTGAAGTAAAAAAACAAATGGGCAAAAACACCCGCATGTGGCCTGTGGGCTGTAGTTTGAGGATGCCTGCATAGGTTGGGTTCAGGTTAGATATGTATATGATTTTTGAGGGGCTTAGGCTGAAGGGGAGCAGCTACCCAGGGCATGTTTCTCAGGCAGATGACCAGAGAATCATAGCCAAGGCCAAACTGCACAAGAATATTTAAGTCTTCTTCTCATAATACATCTGCTAATATGCCATTAGCTAAAACAAGTTGGGCGAATGGACAACATGTAGGAAGAATATTCTTTCTATAGTGGGAGGGAGAGGATAGTGAATGTTTCCTGAACAATAATCCAAATTATCAATTTCTATACCTGGTTCCTACTATTAAATAAAATGAAGACCAGGTTTGAGGAATTCCCCATGCAGACAAAAACAGGCCACATAAGCAAAACTTAATCTAGCTTGATTTTTGAATGTAAATGAAACTTAGGTTATTTCTTATAAATGCCTCTGATAATCATATGAAATCAATGAAATCATAAATGAACAAAACTTAAACCACTTTCCTAAAACAGTATATGATGATCACTTTTAACCAATTCCCTGCCATCTGGAAACCTCCATTGCAATAGTCAATCATTGTAAAGGTTAAACAACTTCTTCATTTTCACTTATAATCAATCCTGTAATGATGTGCCTCTGAGCTTCTTACAGCTGTTGGTTTGAGGTCTCCCAGATTGAAATTTTTACTTTTACATTTTTCCTAACTTGACCTGATTTCATTTTTTGACACTAGTCAACCAGATTTAGGAGTGGGAGTGTGTATTAGTAAGGTTACTCTAGCTGCTGAATTAGGTAGGTCCCTAAATCTCAACTGTTTAATGTAATAGTTATTTCTCATACACACGGATTTGGACACTGTTTCATATTCATGGACTCAACTGGATTCTAAAGTATCCTGCCTCTACCTTCCTCTAGCTCCTCAGAGACCACTCCATTCAATCAGTAGATATGGAAGGAGAATGGTGGATTGGACATGGAAGTCTCTTATGGACCATGTCTGGAAGTGGCATTTATTACTTTACATTCTATGGGCTAGAACTCAGTCATGTGGCCACTCCTAACCCTAAGCAAGGCTGGGAAATGAAACATCTCAGAAAGAAGGACCAATGAATTTGGTGAGAGTATGTAGCCTGTCTTTGTCATGGATGGCAAAGTACTTTAAAAAAAATGAAGGCCTTCAATAACAAAGTTACAACAAAGCATGGGTATTCGAACTTGTGCTATGTGTTATTGCAATATAGCTCAAACCAGAAAGGCGTAGATAATTTTTGTCTATTTCTAAAATGAAGATAAAAACCTTACTCTAAAATCATAGCTTTATGATAATGGAATCAATAAGGTGATGGCATTTGGGGGAACTGCATGGGTGGGGTGGTCATGTGAAAGTAGGAAAATATCTCTATTGATTCTTACATATATCTCATCCCATAAAAATAAACTTGGAGTGTGAAAGCCCAGAGTTTGCACCAGGGTGAGGCAGTCAATACGTACAAACGGGAAGTTTTGAAGTCCCAAAGCAGAGTATGAGTCTTTTGAGAAAAATATTTTGTGATGGCTTGATTTTCCCTGAGCCATTTAGAACAGACATTTCTCTGTGGCTTTATGAAAGTGTGGGCTGTCTTTCTTTGGGGTTTCAGAAAAGTCATATCTTCCAAAATTAATGTTCATCATTTTTGTTGACTTTGACCAGTCCAAATCCTGTGTCATCGCTTAATCTCATGGTTTTTATTTTCTTTTGATATATTTTTAAATATAAAATTACTCATGAAAGACAGATGGTAGATGAAAGATTAAATCTATTCTTCTATTGTGCCAAATTGAACCCAATTTTGAGGCAGAGTTACAGCTATACTATGAAAACAAGTGTACAATTAAAGATGTTATTCATGATATGACTCACCAATTACTAATACAATTACAATGCTTGTTGCAATGAATAGAAGTACAATTACAGCAAAATTACTATAAAATACAAAATTGATATTTTTTACCTTTTTATTTGTAGAAGCTTAAAGTATCTAAATCACATCTTGTAGCCGTCAGTTTTCAATCATTATTTATGTCAGATATATTATTGACTGATGAAAGCCAGGTGTTCTTTGCTCCCCTTAAAACACTTAGAATAGTTGCTCTCATGTGTCACATTTTTTGACAAATACTTTTGTGTCAAAAACATATTATGTCATAGCATAAATCACTGCTTCAGTCCCTGCATGCATAATTTTCTAAACAGAGATAAAATTGGTTAGGTTCCTTTAAAGTGAAAAACCCATAAAACAAAATAAAATACACACACACAAAAACACATTTTGCTACATACCACCCACAACATTTTTGTTCAATTTATAGAATTTTTGTTGCACACATAATGGAGCAAATTTAATTGGAAATGTGAATGAGGCATTTTTTTTTTGTCAATAACATGAAAATAACAATGACAACTCCAATTATGAGAATTGATGCTTTAATTGATTTGTCATTTTCGTGGGTATTTCTATATCTTATACCCTAACAAAAGAAATCTTGCAATATTGTCAAAATTTATGTGGGTTGTGGGATTGTTTATTTGGTTTAGATGGCCCTGAGAAATGTTTCTTTATTTTCTGTCTCTCTCCTCTTTTAAGTAAAATTGTTGGTTCATGGGAAAGAGCTATTCTTCTCTAGAGTTAAAGCAGCTGGTATATCAATATCCATATTTTTAAGCTGAAATAGCATAGTGAGATCATTCTGGATAAAAAAGAAGGAAATAAATCAGCTTGTGAGATATTATCATTCACTTTACATCGTGAAAAACAAATACAGCTGTCATATGCTAACACTCACCACAGATAAATTGAAAATGTATATCATTATTTAACACAGTGAAAAAAGAGAAGACTGTTTCTGTGACTAAGGGATGCATAGTATTTTGGTAATATGTCTTATTAAAGCCAAGTAAATTGGCTACCGGGTGGTAAAATTGCGAAGAGCTTATCAAAGTGCTGAATCAGAGACTCAATGTAAAAAACACATTTAGGAGCAAACAATGTATTGGAGTTTATTAATCTCTGGAATAGGCAATAGCATTGTATAGGATTTAAAAATATAAGAAGGTATTGAAGTGAATGTCTATTTTTGCTTTCTCAGTACCTCTTTTGGGAAAAGAATTCAGTTTCTTTAGAAGAATACTTTCTCCCTCCTTCTCTCCCATTTCTATGGGAAGGGTTGTTACCATCTGTAACAGGAAGCTGCACTTCTGACCATAGTGACTGCTCCAGGGGGTCTGAGCCAGTGACAGTCGACAGTATTTTACTCTTCCTTCCCACAGTGGATGTGATTCAAGCTGGAGCCAATAAGATGACTCGGGAAATTTTTTATTATTATTTTTTAATTCTGGCCAGGAACTGGGAGAAAAAGTCCTTCCATAGTCTGCAATAAAAGAGAATGAGGCTCAAATATATCAAGAAGCAGAGAAAACAGAAAAAAGAATCTTGTTTGTGTTTGAATTCTTACGTCTAGGCTTGAAAATCTCAGAAGCTGCTGTACAAGGGTTTGGCCCTGTGGCGTTTCTTTCAGTTCTGTGAGACTACATAGTCTCCTTCCAATAAACATTCTTCCCACTCCTTTGCTTTTTTTTTTTTTTTTTTGCTTCAGGAAGTTCAAGTTAAATTTCTATTACTTTCAACCAGAGGAATCCTGGCATATCTATATATTCAATTTAATTCTGTAGGTTTATGAAAATGTTTATTTGAATCAGGGAAATATTTAAAGTTAAACTCTAACATTTTTAAAGACCAGATTGATAAATTTTAATTAGATAACAAGTCATTTTGGATTTTGTGGCTTCAAGGAATGCTTTATAGAATATTTATCATCAAAATCCCCAAAGACAAATTTTTATTTTACTTCATTTTGATAACTTGTGAGAAAACAAGTTTCTAGGCATTCATTTGTATATTCATTCATCAATATTTATGGAGAACTTCTTTATGCTAGGTACTGTTCCATGTGACACAATACTGAAAATAAAACAGGTATGTCTGCCTTACATTGTAGTGGCAGAATACAGAGAATAAAATATGATAAATAAAAAAGTAATGGAGTAGGTAAAAAGAACCACAAATAACAGAACACAGAACAGGAAAGGAAGATAGAGGTACTGGGGTAGGGGTTACAGTTTTAAATTAGGTGAACAGAAGGTCTCAATGAGTAGGTGAGATTGAACAGACTTGAAAGAGATAAGGCAATGGGCCATGGGTAGGGTAACCATGTAATTTATCATTCAAATTGGAATACTTTAAAGATTGTGATTTTTATGCTGGGATAGCAGGCACAAATGGGGACTCTTCTTAGCCAAACCTGGATGTATAGTCACCTTAGCTATGTGGGATCTGGATGAGAGACTTCCAGACAGAGGAAAGAGCTAGTGCAAAGGCCTTGAGGCAGAAGTGTGTCTGCCTGGTACAGGATCCAGCAAGACTATTGTGGTTAGAGCCAATGAGCAGAAGGCAGAGAATAAGGCCAGGCATTTCATTAGGGATCCTGAAGTCCATGGTAAGGACTTTAGTATTGACTCTGAATGGATTAGACAGTCATCAAAGGAGTGACATGACTTGACTTGTGTTTTAAAAGGACAGTAGAGTATAGCTGGCCTAGAAAAGAGGTAGAAATTTCCTTTAGAGGCCATTGTAATAAGCCAGGTGAGAAAAGATAGTGAGTGGCACTGGGTGTGGGTTGCAGCAGCAGCAATAGTGAGAAATAGTCAGATACTTGATATGTTTTAAAAGTAAAACCAACTGTATTTGCTGATGGATATTAATGTGGAGTGTGAAAAAGGGAAAAGCCAAGAATGACTCCAAGATGTTTGGCCTAAGCAGTGGAAGGATACAGTTGCTATTTCTTGTGATGTTAAAGATAATAGAGCAGGTTTTAGGGGAAAAGATGAATTAACTATTGGATGTGTTAAGACGTGTGGACATACAAGAGAAGTCTATAAAATAGCCAAAATAGTTCCCCCAAATAAAAACGAGGTTCTATCATCAGAAAGAGAGAAAAAAGTGTTGACTAGTTCAAGTCTGAGGGCACAGCAACCATTACTTGTAGTAACTCTGTGAAGAAAGGAAAAAAGCTTTCTGTCATGATTTATTTTTAGTGAGTCTAAGCTGGGATCCTAATAGCGCTTCTTTTCTAAGTTCTCCAAATATGTTCTTTCAATAATTAGGCATAGAATTTTGCTACACTTTTCAGAATCTGACTTATTTCTTTTTTGAAGGTTGGAACTACTTTTGCATGTCTCCTCCAAAAGATCTTGCAGTGCTCTGGAGTGTATTTAATTGTTAACTCTTTTATAAAATCTATGCATTCTTTTAAAACCTCCTAGTTTAGGAGCTCCTATTTTCTTAAAGTTTCTTTAATCTTGTTTTCATTTTAAAATCACTTATTCTGTTTTATTTTAAAAGTAATATGTGTGAATTGCAGGGTATTTAGGAAATATATATGCACAGCAAAATTAAAATGCTACATCAAAAATAAAAACTGCTAACATTTTAGGGCATGTCCTTCATACATATATGTTTTAAGTATATATACACATATTTAAATAAAATGACATTATGTTGTACATTCTGTTTTTGTAACTTACCATTTTCACTTATATATAAGGTCATCTTGACAAATAAAATGGAGGCATAACAACAATTAGATAGTTGCATGTTCTCTCTGTCATCTGTTAACCTTATACCATCTGCCCTTAGCAGAGGGCTTATTGCATCCTTGGTTTTGCTCCAAAGAATTTTAAAAGAAAACCGAATTTATCTGGACATTACTTTTCACACATCTCAATTCAATGTAGAAATTTAGCCATTGTCACGATTCCCAACAGTTCTAAGCCACTCTCTTAACTTCATTTGGCCTTTATTCTGTGCTTAAAGTGATCACTTCTAGTTGCATATTGAACACCCATACTTCTTTCCTTCTTCCTAAAAGGACTCCTATTTGGTTTAATTATCCCCATCCCCACTCTGCACCCCACCCCTCTATATGCAGCCATATGTCTAATCAATTCAACTTAAAAAAATTGACATAGAATTGACTTTTTTTTTTGGTGTGCAGTATCACAAATTTTAATATATGTGTAAATTCATATTATCGCCACTACGATCAGGATACAAAACAGTTCCATTACCCCACCGAACTTCCTTGCATTGTCCCTTTGTAGTCACAAATTCCTCTTTACCCCTAACTCCTGGCAACCACTGATGTAGCTTCTGTTACTATCATTTTTATCTTTTTGAGAGTGTCATATAAATGGAATCATACAATGTAACATTTTGAGATTGGCATCTTTCACTAAGCATAATGCCTTTGAAGTTTATGCAAGTTGTATGTATTAATACTTTATGTATTGCAAAGTAGTATGTTACTATTAATAGAAATGTGTACCACAGTCTTTTTATTCATTTATTATTTATTCATTCACCTGTTGGGGACATCTGGGTTGTTCTAATTTGGGGGGAGGATCATGAAGATCTGCAATAAACATTTGTGTGAGAGTTTTTACATGAGCGTTTGCCTTGGGCAAATACTCAAGAGAGGATTGATGGTCATAGTATGGTGTATATTTAACTTTATAAGAAACTGCCAAATAGTCTTCCAGAGTGGCTGAATCATATTTCATTACCATCAGCAATTTATGAGAGTACTTGTTCTTCATCTTCACCTGCTCATGGTGTTGTTGATCTTTTAAAAATTTAGCCATTCTTAAAAGGTGTGTGCTGGTCTTTCAATACAGTTTTAATTTGCATTTCCCAATGGCTGATGATATTGAACATGTTTCATGTACTTACTTGCTTTACATATATCCTCTTTGGTGAAGTTCAAGTCTTTTGCCCATTTTTAAATTGAGTTATTAAATATTTTACTATTATGACAGTTTTTTAATGTATTCTAGATACAAGTTTGTTGTTAGATATATAATTTAAAAATACTTTCTCCCAGACTGTAGCTTGTTTTTTCATTATTTAAGTATCTTTTATAGAGCAAATTTTAAAAAATTCGATAAAGTCTAACTTATCAATGCTTTTTCCTTTATGGATTATACCTACGGTGCCATATCTAAGACATCTCTGCCTTATCTCAGGTCATGAAGAATTTCTTTTTCTTTTCTTTTTTTTTTTTTTGAGACAGAGTCTCGCTTTGTTGCCCAGGCTAGAGTGAGTGCCGTGGCATCAGCCTAGCTCACAGCAACCTCAAACTCCTGGGCTCAAGCAATCCTGCTGCCTCAGCCTCCCGAGTAAACTGGGACTACAGGCATGTGCCACCATGCCCGGCTAATTTTTTCTATATATATTAGTTGGCCAATTAATTTCTTTCTATTTATAGTAGAGACAGGGTCTCGCTCTTGCTCAGGGTGGTTTTGAACTCCTAACCTCGAGCAATCTGTCTGCCTCGGCCTCCCAGAGTGCTAGGATTACAGGCGTGAGCCACCGCGCCCGGCCGGATGAAGAATTTCTTTCGTTTCACTTATCAAAGTTGCTTCCTAGAGCTCCTTCCTCTCCACAGTCTCCTCAGTACGTCCCCTTGTGATGGTCCTCTGGCTACAAAGCTGGGGCTTTATCTGTCGTGTTCTGCCACATGTGTCCAACTCTAGGGCCAAGCACCAGGAACACAGAGAGAAAAATCAGTGGGAGTTCTTGCCACTCTTTTGGGACCACACCTCCTCTGCTCAGAGACGAAAGTTCCTCTTCCTAAATTTTGGGTGCTTGTGGGCTCCTGCTGCCATGACTGTTTCTGCCAGTAGACTTTCCTGCTCCTTGAGCTAGTACTAGAGGGCTTCTTCTTGAGATCTCTTTATCCACACCAACGTCCATGGGCTGCCTTGAGACCAGGCTGTAAGATACTGGAGGGGAAAAAAAAAGGTAACTCTCTGCTGGTTCAGAGGTGATTTGAATTCCAATCTCCTTCCCCAATCTGCCTGCTGCTATTCACTTTTAACAGCCCTTAAGTAGATTCTTACATTTTGTTCCATGCATTTTGTCCCGGTTTTATTACTGCATTTAGTAGGAGAGACAGGTTGGAAAGCGCCTACTTCATCTTACTCGAAATTGGAACGCCCCATCTGCAGTGCTCTATGGTGATTGGCTGCAGAATGGGATTTAACTCAACTCTGGCCAATGAGTATTGAAAGGAATCCTATTGGGCGTGGTCTCAGTAAAGTTCTCTCACTACTGAGAGAGACACCCAAGAAGAGATGCTCTCTTTCTTCTACTTCTGAACGCTGTTATGTCACTGTGTAATATCTGGGACTGACTACTGCTGCCATTTTGTTACTGGTCTTGGGATAAAGGCAACACACAGAGAGCAGACTAAAAACATGAAAAGAACCTGGTCTTTGATGACATGATTGAATCTGCCCTATTTCAGGATTTCTTGTGATGGATAATACTTGTGTTCCCCTTTAAGCTCATTTGAGGTTTGGAGTTTGAGGCTTTTACTTGCTGCCAAAAGTATTTTAAAATACAGTACCTTTTTTTCCTATATTTTGTACAAGTTTTTTTTTTAAATCTGAACTTCAGAGAGTTTCCTCTATTGTATCTATTTTCTTTAAACCCATGCTGTCCAGTCACATGTGGCTATTGAACACTTAAAATATGGCTATTCTGAATTGAAATGTGCTATATAGTATAAAAGACACTCTTTTGAAAATTTAGTTAAAAAAGATGGTAAAATATTTTGTTAGTAATTCTCATATTTATCACATGTTGAAATGACAATAGTTTGGAAATGTTGGTTTAATAATTATGCTATTAAAATAAATTTCACTTGTTCTAACTTTTTAAAATGTGGCTACAAGAAAATTTAGAATTACATATGTGGCTCACATTATTATTTCTATTGAACAGCACTGCTTTAGAGAATTTCCCCTTTTCCTGTTCACTGGAATGTTTACATTTGCATCATCAGATTTGTTTTAAGAGCTTCTCGATTATCATGAACTAGCTTTACTTTTAAAGGCTTCATTGACTATTTTTTAATTGAAATTAATGAGTTCTCTTTTCTAAGCACTGAATTGTTCTCACACACGACAGACCTTAAACCTGGAAATATTGTAAAAAATATTTTTAGCCCTATCCTAAGATAATCCAATTAATTAGGTCATAGAGCCCAGGCTTTTCTATTTTTAACAAGTACTCACTGACCAGGTATATAGGGTATGTATGATATATAGTTTTACTCTGTCTTCCCTTAAGTATCTCTGTTCCTTTGGAATACATCATAGTTTTCCATCATCTGACTTCATTTAACACGCCATGGTCTTCAGTATAAGGTACTATTTATCACCCTGTATTATTAGATTTATGTTCTTATCCATTGTTTGCATATTGGTATATAGTATAGGTATCTGAAACTATGATGTGATTGATCCCCTTCCTAGTGACTTTTTCATGTGGCCTATTGGATGTTCACCATCATTTTATGTCATCCTGACATAGTATATCTAACAGTAATCTTCAAACTGAGGCACATATATAAACCTGGGGGTAAATGAGCTTTCCCAAAGGATATCGTATTAGAGGTGGGTAATTTGGTAGAAATGCATTGTGGATTCTATTATTAACAATGCATTTAATAACATAATTTATAAGTCCAGCTCTTAATGGTGGCCTAATATGTCTCTTTCCTGGGCTATTAATTTCCACTGGTCCCTAATTATATTTAAAAATAATAATTATTCATGGCTATCTGAACTAATTGAACAAAAAGAGCACCATCATTTGAATGAGAGATGAATTTTCAATAAAATTTTACTTTTATGTTTTCTAGTTATACTAATTTTAAATATATTTATATTTTATTGCTTATTAATTCTAATGATTATTCAATCCAGAAGAAGTGTTGTTGCTATACTTAATAGTCCCATAAATTATAAAAAATTAAATTTATGTCCATATTTTATTGGAGATAATTTGATAGGTCGATCTATCAAAGACTTTTAATTATAACAATATATTGCATGAAAATCAAATTCTTTGGGGACTGGGGAATGAAAATGTAAGTTCAGAGGAAAAGGAATGATGTAAAATTCTGACTGCCAAAAAAGAACTTTTTCATGGACTTTTTAAATTACCATGATATTTAGAGAGATTTGACTCACATTAACCATTTTAGAACAATTCTACTTAAAATGTCATTATTTAAAATACACAAGAAATCCTTTGCTACCATTTATATTTATATAAGAATTTTTAGATGTTAACCCAGGAACATTAAAGGGATGTCAATTTTTTAAAAATCTGTGGGGTACAGGAAAAACTGCTACTTATCAAATTTTATCTGGGCATTTTTTTTCTCCAGCTCATCCTATTTGATATAAATTTCTCTTGAAGAAGTCAAATAATATGTTGGTCAATATCTCACCAATTGTCTGACATTCTTGAGTCATACCCATAGTTTAGAAATCCAAATACCATTCGTTGATTATATACCTATGTATAGAGATAGAGAACTATATCTAGATACATAGGTCTCTCTCTCTTTCTTTCTTCCTATCTCTCTCTCCCCGTTTGCCCCCACCCCATCTCTCTAGCTACTTATTTCCCACATACTACTTTTTCCTCCAAAATCCCAACCTTCTGAAGGAAAAACAATGAAAGCACTCCACCATCCCACAGTCCTCCAAGAGTACAAATCCTTCAGTTTTCTCCCCAAGGTTTCATAGTCCCTCTAGAACTTTCCCAAGTCTCTTCTGTGGAAATTTTCCATTCTCTGACTCCTACCAGATGCAGCAGGATATTGCTCCCTTTAAAAAAGATCTACCTTTACTTATAGAGGTGTGTTTATATATCTATGTACATGGAAATATATAATTTAATTTTCAAATTTATAAAATTTCAAAGTATAAGAGTATATAGTTAAAGAGAATTCAAAAGTATATATGTGCTTATATGTATGTTTATATATATATATACATATATATATATATATATATGTATATCTTCAATATCTTTTTTCCGTATCACAATCCCCTACCCAGGAAATTCTTAAAATTTTTTTCTATATATTTAAATTCATACACATACACATATGTTTAGTTAAGGTATTTTTATACAACTGGGAGCATAGTATATATTCTGTTAATCCATTTTATTATTCTTAACTATAACAAAGTACAAAGTACCATACTGTACTTAACCATGCCCCATTAATGGCCATGAAGGACAGTCTTAATGTTCAGTCTCTTAGTCACAAACAATGCTATAAAGAATATTCTTATGAATATATCTTTGTGCTTATGTTTGATTATTTCTCAAGGATAGATTCCTATAAGTGGGATTGCTTGGTCAACAAGTACACATTTTCACCTTTAATTGATATTGTCCTCTAAAAAATAGTGCCATATTACATTCAGATAACAATGGAAGAAATATATGTTTCCTTACATCTTTATCAAAATGCATATAATCAACTTTTTAAATGTTTGACAACCAAACAGGGAAAGAATAAATTCTTGTGGATATTTTAATTAGCCATTTCTGACTTCTGGTGTATTACTCTGTGAGAAATGGCATGCACTTAATTTGAATTTCAGTAATGCTCAGTTACTTTTCTTTCTCCTTTAGGCCATATTTATCTGCTCAGTATTATTTGGATATGGTTTTTGATTCCCCTCTGACTCCTAAAAAACATACTTTCCATTTTTCTTTGTGGGTCATTTCCACTTTTCTATTTTTGTCTTCATCTTTCTTGATAAACAGTATAGAGAGGTCTTCCTGCTTGCCTTCACCTCAAGCCGCTGACTCGGTTAACATAAATAGCTAGATATTGCTTCTGGCAAGAACACAAACTGAGGACACTCCCTGAAGGGCCAAAGGAATAATCACCTCACCTTCTATTTCTCTTGCTTTTGGTTAGTTTCTAACACTTTGTTATTAAGTGTTGGAAAAGTTATTTTCTTTTTTATATTAAGGTGATATTTTTGAAACTTTTCCACCAAATTGTTCCTATAAGCAAGGAAGAGTGAACGTGCAAATAATGATTTGTTTTTCTTATTCCAAACCGCTGAGTAAAATTAAAGGTACAAGAACTTTTGTAGCTATCTTTTGTCAATTCTTTTACTCTTTGACAGAGAATATTCTGGTTAAGAAGCGCTGTATTAAGTTGGATGAAGATCAAAATCATTAATTTAATTCAATTTTATAAATATATATATATATTGCATGCTAAAGTTCAAACAAGCAATTACAGTTGTCCCTTGGTACCCATGGTGGATTATTTCCAAGACCTCCCTCACTCAGATACCAAAATCCACAGATGCTCGAGTCCCCTATGTAAAATGGTGTAGTATTTGTATATAACCTCCATACATCCTCCTGCATACATTAAGTCATCTTTAGATACTTATAATACCTAATACAATGTAACTGTTATATTAATAGTTGTTATACTATATTGTTTATAAAATAATAGAAAAGTCTGTACATGCTCAGTACAGATGCAACCATCCATTTTTTTCCAGAATATTTTTGTTCCTCAGTTAGTTAAACTGATGGATACAGAACCTATGGTTACGGAGGACCCATTATATATGGGAATTTGGGGGAATGTTTTGACTTTTGACATTATAGACTACCTGAAATGGACTTAGGGACCTCCAGTGGTTCATGAGCCACATTTTGAGAACTGCTAATCTAGAACAATGACTCTCTATCTGTGTTAACATGATGATACCCTGAGTCTTAGCCCCAGAGATTTTGATTCAATTAATGTGGGAGTAAGCCTGGCCATTGATATTTTTTAAAACTCCCTAGGTTATTTTAATATGTATCTAGAGTTCAAAATCACTACTGTAGAATACAAATGCAGTGTTTTTCACTATAGACACTCAGATTCATTTGGGAGATTGTACTGAAATATCTGCACACACAAAAACATTTAAAATACAATAAATTATGTATCATAACATTAGGCCATATTGTATAGATTAAGATTACTTTATGTGGAGATTGGGCCACAATAATTTCAAGACTCTCTTTCTCAGAATTACTAGTGTTTTGGAACTTCATTTTCATTAGGTATAGATCACTAGTATTATCTATATATCAATCAGTCATCATCTCTGCATATATGTATGCATGTGTGTGTACATATTATACATATTATATATATATAAAACTAATGGAATAGAATATTTAAATCTTATAGTTAAATGATTAACCATATGTGTTTTCACATACTTATATTTAAAAAAATCAATATTAAAAGATGATTTTCCTAAGTCATTATAAAACTCCCTTCTACATTTCCTGAGGCCAACCCAGTTTAGAGGATAAGTCTGGAAATATATTAGAACATCAGGGGAGAGGAAGGAGAATAAAAGCAGAAGGTTTAACATTTACTAATTACATAGTAGTTTTTAGGTTTTTTTTTTACTTTTTGAGTATGGAAGTGGGCAGAATTGTTATCAGGCTCTCCTGTCATTTCTTCTTTGTAAGATCTATAGAGTGTGAGAATTTCAAGAGGAATGTGAGAACCAGGGATAGAGTTCTTGATAAGAGCATGATTAAGTTATCTTATTGTTAATGCTTTAACCTTGGTAGGTATGTAATATTGGCATTTTGCTAAAAAACTAAGCAGTTTATATATTTGAAACCCTCACTGACAGCTTGGAATATTCTTATTTATTACATTATTCATAATTCTTTCATTTTAAAAATAAAACATAGAATCTCTAATAAATTCATTTTAAGTAAGTTTAATATTAATGGAAACAGAGGGAGTTCAGTTTGGCTTTTGTTATTATTTTTAAATCAAAAGAGAATTAGAATGCATCATAGACATAAACATAAAAGATGAAAGTGTAACACCTCTAGACAAAAGCAGAAGAGAAAATCTTTATAGCCTTGGGGTAGGCAAAAATTTCATAGATAAGATACAAAAAGAGCTAATCATAAAATTTAAAAAATAATAAATAGGATCTTATTAAAATTAAAACTTTTGGTTTTCAAAGACACTCTTAGGTAAAACAAAAATGTAGCTATGGATGGGGAGGTAATATTCACAATATGTATACTTGATGAAGAATTTTATTCATAACATAAACTGAGCAATAAGAAGACGAACAACCCAGTTAAAAAATAAGCAAAAGGTTTGAGCAGACACTTCACAAAAGAAGATATGTGAAAGCCAATAAGCACACACAAAGATTTGCAACATGATTAGTCACCAGGGAAATGTAACTTAGAATTACACATCTACTAGAATAGCTAAAATAACAGGAATAAGCAACTGTTAATAGGAATGCAACTAGACCTTTCCTATGTTGCTGGTAGAAATGTGAAGTAGTCTGGCAGTTTCTTATAAAGTTAAATAAATATACATCTACCATTAGATCTAGCCATTCCAATCCTAGGTATATACCCAAGAGAAATAAGAGCATATGACTCCATACAAAAACTTGTTCATGGTAGATTTATTTGTAATAGTTCAAATGTACAAATGACTCAAATGTTCATGAACAGGTGAAAATAAACAAAATATAATACTACTTATATAACTTATACAACAAAATAGAATACTATTAGACAGCAAAAATAAACTAATATTCGAGGTCTGTCTGGAAAATATCCAGCTATGTAATATGAAAATTAGAGACATTTATTGAAAAAGATACAAGAAACATTGACAATGACACCTCATTCCCCTTCAAAGTAGACACCTTGGGACCTCACACAGTTATCCCAGAGTCTCTTAACCTAACCTGCACATGTTCAACACTCTCAGGCCTTCCAGAATGTGCATCACTTTCAACAGCTTCTGGACCATCTGTGCAGCGTTTGTGCCACACTTTTATTTGTGCTGTACCCATTGCATCATCCTAGAAAGCCTTCTGAATTATCTGAATAGTTTTTGTGGAGGAATATTCAAGCATAATGCAAAATTTGATGCAAATCCGTGGCTCTACTTGCTCAGTCGTTTGGAATGCGACGGCCACACAGTAAACATGCTCACTAAACGGTGTGCAGTGCTCCACTGATTACTACAGTGAAGTCGCCATTGTTCACGAATGTGCATTACAGTCCACTAGCCTTGGCTGCCAGGTTACACTGATGTCGCACAAAACTGTTCTCATTGCATTAACAATGGATGGATATTTTCCGGACAGCCCTTGTATATAACTGCATAGATAAATATAAAAAACATTATGCTGAGTTACAAAAAGCCAAACACATAAGAATACACACTTTATTATTCCATCTAAATAAAATTCTAGAACAGATAAAACTATAGTGTTGAAAAGCGAAGTGATGGTTTCCTGGGGCTAGGGACCAGAGAAAGAGGCCAAGGGAACTTTTTAGGGTGGTGGAAATGTTCTAAAATTTGATTACAGTGATAGTCACATGGGGGTGAATTCATTTGTCAACATGTGTTAAATTTACACTTAAAATTAGTGCTTTTTGTTGCATATAAATATGCTTCAATTTAAAATAAACACATCAGTGTAGGTAATAATTGCTATAGAAGTTTAGAGAATAAGGGAGATCATTAAGGGCCAGCAGTTATTTTAGAATGTAGAAATGTCAGCTCTGGCTGCACGCTAGGAAAAGCAGCTGAAGGCAGTAGGAGGATCACACTGGTCTGGGAGTCAGATAATCCAGCTTTGAGGATGCTTCTTCTCATCTAAATTTTAGTATGGATTGTAAGGAGCTGGAAGATGTTTCTCTGTAGGCTAAAGATCAGAGAGTAATCAGGAACCAGACAAAAAGAGAAATCATTGTGTATGGTCAGAAGGCAACTTAAAAAAAAAAGAAAAACCTTTCTATTAAAGCTGCAAGCAGACTCTTAGTGGCTGCTCAG